TATATATATATATATATATATGTATATATATATATATATAGGAGAAGAGAATTGGGCTAAAAACTGGTCCCTAGTCATGTAAATGTTTCAGATTTTTTCTTATTCCAAATTTTTAAAAACTGGGCATTGTTAGGTGGACTTTTCTTTTGTAATTTGGAATTACTCAAACTTGTTTTTTTATGTTGCCCAATTTGAGTTTGATTTCCACTGTCTCTTAAATTACTAATTTGATTACAAATATCATTTTGCGTAGGGTTAAGCTGTGTTTGCCTTCTTAGCTCTTATTCAGAAATAAAGTTAGAATAAAGACTGGCTTTGAGAATAATGAAACATGAAAACTTCATTCAAGCCTAAAAACATGTATGCTTGATAGAAAAACCTAAGAATTATGACATTATAACCCAGGACATTAACAAAATCTGAATATTAAGCATGGTGCTATAGTTTTTTAGTTTCTGTATGAAAGGCAGTTATAGTTTGGACATAAAGATCTGCATATAGATTATAAAACCTTTAAAACCATGGCACCATTCCAGCCTTTATTTTACTTGATAAGGACTCTCAGCATTTGACACTGTGGATGCCTCTCTCCCTTTGAAACACTTCTTTTTGTTGGCCCACAGTCTCCTGATTGTCTTTGCATCCCTCTGGCTTCTCTAAGTTTCCTCTGTGAGCAGTTTATCCTCTACCTGTCCTTTAGGTGTTCACATTCCTTATATGCTTCCCAGCGACTTCTTTTCTTATTCAATACAATCTCTGACCTGCCTAATTCACTCCTACAGCTACCTTTGTGATCTAGTTGCTGATGACTCACAGTCTATACCCTGTGGCTTTCCTGGGTTCCAAACCACATGTCTGTCTATTTTGTGGACACTTCCACTGAACTGAATGTCAACATAACCAAAAATGAACACATTATCTTCTTTCACTTTCCTTCTCTACTTTCCAACCTTCCCTCTAAACCTGTACTTCCTCCTGGGACACTCGGTGGTTTGAGCGTGGACTCTCAGGAGTCACTCAGACCTGGGTTTGAATCCTAGCATTCTTATTACATGGGTGACCTTGGATAAGATATTTTACATCTCAGCTTTTACCTGTAAAGTGGAGATAATAGTCCTACTTCAAAAGGTTGTTGTGAGAATTCAGTCATGTAAAGGTACAATGCCTGTCCCGAAATAATAACTCAAAATATATTATTCCCTCTGTCAGTGAATTATACTACCAGCCACCCAGGTAGTTTAACATCAAAACTGGAACAGTCTGAGAGCCTTGTTTTTTCCATACTTCTCATATTTACTCAGTCTTAAAGTCCTACTAATGCTACTTTTAAAAGTGTTCCCTCCCTACTCAATACTACTATCCTAGTCCCTTTACCATCATCTCTATTAATATAGCTGCCTCCTAATTAATCTCCCTGCCTCTGTTCTTATCCACTCCCAGTCCATTCTCCTCACAGCACCCAGGAAGACCTTTCCAGTAGCTGCCTATGTTGCCTGCAGGATAAAGGACAGATCCCTTAATTCAGTCTGCAAAGCTCTTCTTGATTGAGCTGGCGCTATTTTCTCCCGCTTCAAACCTCATCACCTAAGTAGTGACTGCCATAACTGTCTTAGAAAATCTTATTATAAAACTGATACTAGCTCATCGCTAGAAATTTGAGAAATAAATAAAAAAGAGTACCCATGATCCACCATTGTTATCATTTTGGTTTTCCCCTCCATATTTTTTAAATGCAGCATTTACATAGCTACAATCAAAGTGAATACGTAGCTTTGTTTGTGAGGATTTTTTTTTTTGTTTTTAATTTTAAAAAGTTTGCACAAATACATGCTTGTTGTTTTAAAATATACAAAGTAGCAGATGCCATTCATGACTCACAGCCTCAACACTTCTCCTAACCAACCCCCTTAATCTCATTCCCCTCTTCATGTATGTGTTTACACATGGAAATGCATAACTATTTTTATTAGATTCCTTTCACAATAACATATCATTAGCATTCTCTTATAACCTTAATTTTATAAAATTAATTTTAGTGGCTGCATAATATTAATGGTGATAGTAGCAGCTACAGTATGAGTAACTCCTGTGGGCCTGGCATGTGCTTGCTAAACTTACACGAGAATCCCCATTTGACTGATGAGGGGACTGTGTGACTACTAAAATATCTGTCAGTTCAAACACTGCTTTGTTCTCCCATGCGTACCATAGCATATGGATATTTGAAAATTAATTGTTAACCAATCTTCCCCCCATTGTTGGTCATTTATGGTTTTTTATTGTTCACTCTCATAAATAATGCAGTTACTATTTTTGTATGTTAGTCTGTATCTGCATTTCTGATTATCTTCTAAAGATAGGTTACTAGAAGCAAATTTTTTTTTTAAGGTTTTTGACACATACTGCCAATTGCCTTCCTGAAAGGTTACACTAATTTACAGGAGTGATTAATTCTAATGGGAGGGAAAGGAGAGTAAGCAAGTGACATTTCACAGAGGAGGTGACATTTGAGCTGGGTCCTGCAGGATGAGGAGGGCTTTGTCACAGGGGAGCCAGAGTGAGCTGAGCATTCCAGATGGAAGAAGGAAGAGGGGGGACAAAGGAGCAGGGGCTCGGAAGAACCTTTGCCCCAAGAGAGAGTCAGTCTGTTCCCTGGCATCTGCTTATTTGCCACCAGAAATCCTCATCATTATTTTATGGTTGGCAGGGAACAGACTCAATACATTCAAAGAGAAAGTTGAGATTCTAACTTGTGGTTCTGCCCTTTCATATATTTAGAAACTTTCTCAAATGAAAGCTTTTTGAAGTTCTGAGACATTCATGTTAGTCTGTTTCTTTGTTTGAAAAAAAAAAATCCCCAGAGGATTCAATAGAACTGGGAAACTTATCAGAACTCTCCTGTTCCAGCTTCTTCCCTGAATTCAAAGGGGCAAGAGCATTTGACTTTGGTGTTAGTGGACCAAAAATCCATTCATCGATTCATCACTGACAGTCCTAAATACAGTGAAGAGAATGCCATCAATATATTGCATTTAACATGATTGATATCCATTTGATTAATAAAATGAATAAAAGTAACTAAAATCTATTTTAAAACTTGGGATAAGTACCAGACACCAGGGAGTTAAATTATACAGTAAGTAGAGCTGTAGCACAATTTCAGCATTTCTCTGAGCATTGGTATGTCTGCAGCTCCCTATTTCAAGGCTGGAGTGAGTGCTGAAAGTCAGGAGGATAAAGGTGACAGGGGAGGTGAACCATACAGTCGGAGGCGGTTAGCAGAAGTGCTGCCATCCAGGCTCCCTAGTCAGAGCAGGAGAGGCTTCCAGGTTCTAGTTCTCACTAATCCTATCATCGCAGCTTGAAATGCAATATGACAAATAAGCCATTTCACATCATATTTTGAAGAAGGCAATTTATAAATTATAAGTTAAGTAATAAAGTATTTCTAAAGCTGCCGAAGTACCTCAGGACAAACAGGGTTTTCTTTTTGCATCTGATGTGCATACTGCTACTATGAAGATTTTGCTGGCATTTATGAAATCTATAGAGTGTGAGTTTAATCATCTTAAAACTTAACCATTTTATAGTAATTGAGGGAGTTAATGAAACGTGAATTATAGGCCGTTTTAAAATACATTGTCCTTTTTTGCTTGTAAGGAAGTATAGTAACGGGAATAAGTGAAGGGATCAAATAGCTGATCCATTTGACTAGATTTAATTGATAGCTAAGAAATCTTTCTCATTAGCATTGTCATAGAAATACATTAGAATGGCTTTAGACATAGCCCTCCAAAATTGCTATGCTGTTCTCCCATCTGTCTCCTGTTCTGCAGATGTTTTCTCTGAAGAACGCCTATAACCAAACCAAACCTGTTGCCTTGAGTCAATTCCGACTCATGGCGACCCTATGGGACAGAGTAGAACTGCCCCATAGGGTTTCCAAGGAGTGGCTGGTGGATTCCAACTGCCAACCTTTTGGTTAGCAGCCAGATGCTTAACTACTGCACCACCAGGGCTAATAACAAAAAGAAAAAACAACCCCTTGTTGTCGAGTTGATTCCAACTCATAGCAACCCTATGGGACAGAGTAGAACTGCCCCATAGAGTTTCCAAGGAGCAGCTGGTAGATTTGAACTGCCAACCTTTTCGTTAGCAGCTGAACTCTTAAACCACTGCGCCACCAATAGGTAAGTAGAAGTATTCTCATTACTTACTAACAATGAGACCATAAAGGTATCAAGAGTACTTTCCTTTTAAGGTTCTTCTGAAATTTTAATTAGATAATATTTTAATACTATGCCCAACACCTAGTAACCACTCAATATATGGTGGTAGTAATAGTAGAAGTGGGAAGAAGAGGAGTTGTTATTTTTGTTTATTATTATTATTGTTATTAATATACTATTATTTTATCTTTAAGATTATTTTACAGCCCTAACTTTTATTCCTTGCTTGCCAGTCTTCTCTCGAATCTTAACAAAGGAAAATGTAAGATTGGAAGACTGCATCTTAAATACCATTTGTCTACTTACGAAAGGAAGACTAGAGTTTGATAGGTAGAAAATGTGAAAATGTACTTCTGGGCCAATGTGCAGCTCTCTCCTGAGAGTGCTTTGTTTTTAGCACATCTTTCATAAGTAATGAAATTCATTTGAAAGGGAAGCTCATGCCCATTCATGACAACATATTCCCTAAAAGTCTGCATCAAGATGGTGAAAATGGGATCACCAAAAGCTCTTGCCAACTTAAAAATTTAAAAATCAGATGCTAGTGGAAACCCATGGTAAGGAAAGCCCGTAGTCTACAATGTAACAATTCTCTTCACCAGCCCTGAGCCTACCTCTTGATTTCCTTAGATAATATTCTCAGCCTAAAACAAAATCATCTTGCTCAGATTGGTATTATATGGCCTCTTCTTAAGCAGACATAGGTTTCAAAATCTAAACCCTCTCTTTTTCTTTACTGTTCCTAATTCTGGCCCTTTCTCTAATAGCTTACTCTTTCTTGTGTATTTGGTTAGAAGATACATTTTTTAAAATAGCACCATTAAAAAGTAAAATTGTTACTTAATTAAATAAAAGTGTTGTACAATTTATATACATTTTTAAATATTCAAAGCAATCAATTATAAAAATAGTTTGCATTTAGAGTTAGCATGCATCCCTACTAAAGTTGTCATGGTGAGTGAGTTTTTATTCCTACTGTTAATGAAGATGATTTTCATTTATTTTATATTGACTTTTAAGTTTTGTCCTGGGAAAAACACTCATGTAATTTGGTGTTCTTCTATAGGACTTTCCTGACTCCCCAGTTCTCTTCATTCTTATTGTGCTCAAGGCCTGTACCCACCCTTTGCACTTTACTTTCTCCTTTAATTGTTTCATAGGTTTCAGTCTTGACTTCCCAAATCTACTGTTAGCTCTTTGATGGCAGACGCTGTCTTATAGCAGGGGTACGATTTACAATGGAAGTCTCAGGTTTAGCACATGTGGAGTACTTGTTTGGTTGGGGGTTATAATCAATATCAGTGAACTTCATCTGTTTGTATTATATTGAATGTCTTGATGCCACATCAAAATTAATAAAGATATGACATGTACATCTGCTTCTTCCCCAGGTTAATCAGCTCCACGGCATACCCAAACTTCTGCAGCTCCTCAAAGTTCAAAATGAAGATGTTCAGCGAGCCGTGTGTGGGGCCTTGAGAAACTTGGTGTTTGAAGACAATGACAACAAGTTGGAGGTAGCAGAACTAAATGGGATACCACGGCTGCTGCAGGTGCTGAAGCAAACCAGAGACCTGGAGATGAAAAAGCAAATAACAGGTAGCCCTTACCTAACGTTAAAGGGCATAGCACAGTGCACTGCAGCCAGATGTGTTATGTCATCTGTTTTTCTTAGATTTCCTGGAACAAATGATTGATGGGCTCATTGTTATCCAAGAGGTGGCTTTAAAGGGACATGGTTACCTGCTACCTGCCAGATTTAAGCCAAGTTTGAATTTCTTTTATCTGAAGGGGAAAAGATTCTGAGGTTTTGCTTGATATTTTAAATTAGAAACTCTATACACCTTTGACTAAATGTCTTTAAAACAACTTCTTGACAAGACTCACTGTGTGAAAATTCTGCATAAATTTCTGAAAGGCAGCTTTGTAGTTCGGGAGTGTGTGGGGTTTCTGTATTGTCCCAGGTGTCTAAAGCCTTCTAAAGAAAACCAGGAACCACACCCGATTATTTTTATTATTTATTCAACAATCAGTTTGCATATATTAGAGGAGAAAATGGTCCATCGATGTTCCAGAATAAGTCACCCTCCCTGCCATCACCATTAGCTCTCTGGTGGTATGCCCTGTACACACCACAAAGAGTACAAGAAGGATTACTAAGTGCCATCATCAGTAGTGTTGCTTGAGAGAATGGAAGGGAGCACACATTTATTAAAGTACATCTTCTATGTACCAGGTGTTATACATACATTTTTAAATTTAATTTTCATAAAAACCATAAGTTGTGAAATATTATTAGCTATTTAATACCAGTATTAAAATAACAGTTTTACAGATGAGGAAACAGGCTCAAAGAAATTAACTGTTTTTTAATATGCCATGTAAGCTTTTTTTTTTTTAAATTAGTGATAGTAGTTGACAGTGTTCTGGTAAATACTTATCATTTAAAAAGAAGGAACTCAATAAATATTGTTTCAAATCGAATGGAATATATCTTGCACTGAGTCTGTAAAATTTGTGCCATCCTCACTTTGTTATAAGACAGCTTTCATTTTTTTCTAAAAAATTTTGCCATTTTATCATCTCTATCACATTTATATCCTACTTAAAATATCACATTTTTTTCTATCTTGATATATTTTAATTTTACAAAACTGTATGAAGGGTGATACTATGCCACCTTCTTGACAGAGTGCAGATTGTACCCCATAAGATATGGCCTTTCATATCCATGATTTTTTTTAAATACCTGTAAAATTAAGAGTGATCGTACCTATTCATTCATTCAACCAACCAACCAACATTTATACAGCAGCTATCAGGTGCCAAGCACTGAGAATATAGTCCCTGCCCTTCAGAAAATTCCAGTCTAGGAAAGTTTGCTTTTTCTCCCCATCCCCTAAAACATGAGATTATGGCATGGTTGACATTTTTTAAAAATGTGTGTGTGTATATATATACATATATATATATATAATTATGAATCACAAGAGAGAATCAAGCAAATGGTTCAGATCACCCGATTTTGCAGCCAAAAAATACTTTATGAAGAACATATGTTCATTCTGGACCTTAAAAGAGGAATAAGCTTTAGACTGGTGTTTTGAAGGAGAATCAGAGTTATTCCCAGCAAAGTGAACATCACTAGCAAGGCAAAAAGGTGGAAAGAAGCTGCTGATCATTTAGAGGAAACTTTGATAATAGAGTGATTGGGGATTAAGGTGCATGGTAGCTAGAAAGCTTGGGAGGGGTGTGTATTTGTTTCAGAGGAATAATTCACAGAATCACACTTCCTCTTTTTTTGCATAGGAAATTAAGGTCAAAGAACATTCTGTAACATTGATTCCATAGAAACCATCCAAGGCATCCTTAAATAATTTACAGAGCTGATAAACGGAAGTCAGTTGTGCAATACTCAGGATTTCCAGTACAAGCCAAACATCCCTACCAGACGGTGTATATTACATGTTAAGTGAATTGAATTGACATTTGAACATTTGATACAAATCCTTCCAAGTTACTCCCTTTAGCTCTATTGATAGAAAAGCTAAATAAGTGCTTTCTGGACCCCAGAAATAAATTTTTGGCCTAATATAAACATGTTTTTATCTTTTTTTTAGAAATATAAAACAAGTACCATATGTGAATCTTATTTTATTTCTTAAACATCTTTTTATTGAGCCCCTAATTTGTGATAGTAACGAAACTAGAACTTTGCGTTTTTATCTCTGTTCCTCCTAAGAGCCTTGTAGGGCATGGAAGCATTATTGATTATCTGCATATGATCAGTGTGAGGCTCAGAGAGGTTAAGTATATTGCCCAAGGTTACACAGCTAGTGAAGAGCAAAGCCCAGATTAGAATCTAGTTTTGTCTGGATGTTCAGCTATAGCATAGTGGCTCCCAACTCCTCCTTTGGGAGAAGATGTTGACTCATTTTTACACTTCTTTGGGAAAGGGCTCTTCTTTAAAAATCTCTGATCAGAGAGCTCCGCCTTGTTCCTCTTTGACTTTTCCTCTCTCTGCTGCCACTCCCTGGGTTCAAGCCCTCTTCATCTCTCTGCTCTACTCCTGCAGTAGCCTCTTAACTGGTCTCTGTGGTTCACTATTCTCCATTCTCAATCTGCCCGACACTCTGCTTCTAGTGATTGATTCCTTTCTAAAATAAAACTAGTGTTCCATTATGCTCCCCATTACCTAAAGTCCGTATGTACTCTGTAGCACACCACCCAAGGATTATATATGACCCTGGCAATTCTTGTCAACAGTATTTCCTCTCACACCCCTCCAGCCCAGGTTATGATATCCTAAATGACCTCCTGATCTGTTCCATATGTCTTTCTGTCTCTATGTATTTGTCTCTATTGCTGTCCTTTTCTGTCCCTGGACCACCTGGTGAATGCTGTCATCCTTCAATAAAAACATCCATTGCCGTTGAGTTGATTTTGACACATAGCAACCCTATAGGACAGAGTAGAACTGCACAATAGGGTTTCCAAGGCTGTAATCTTTATGAAAGCAGACTGCCATATCTTTCTCCCACAGAGCACCTACTGGGTTTGAACCACCGACATTTCAGTGCACTAGCAGGGCCCCTTCATCCCGCAATAGTTGACTCAAATATCACTTTTCCTTTAAAGTATTTTCAAATGCCATCTTTCCTTACTTTACTCTCAGTCCCTCCCCCTCAGCAGAGTTTTGAAGGAAGAGACTTCTTTGAACTACCTTTACATCCTTTAATATTAGGCTGCCACTTAATTTCATGCCACTATATTCATTGCAATAACAAATGTGATGATCACATAAACTTCTCAACAGCTGTGGATTTCTGACCTAATATAATAAAGAGACTTTCGGCCTTGGGATAAAACCAAAAAAAAATCAAACCCATTGCCATCAAGTTGATTCTGACTCATGGCGACCCTATAGGACAGAGTAGAACTGCCCCACAGGGTTTCCAAGGAGCAGCTGGTGGATTCAAACTGCCAACCTTTTGGTTGGCAACCAAGCTCTTAACCATTATGCCACCAGGGCTCCAGCCTTGGGATATCTAGATTAAACATAAATAAGGGGTGCAGGTGTGTTTTAAAATAAGACCTTGATTTTTCGGACCAAAATATAAAAAATGAACCATCTTTTTCTATGTACGTTTAAGAAGTTCAGCGTCAGAGCTTTGTTCGCTGGAAAAGATTGTAAACTTAATGACCTTTTCAGCAATGAGATTGTTCCCCCTTCTTTACCAAAGGAGCATGGTAGTGTGCTTTTAATTAAAATGAGAACAGCACATCCTCATCTCAGAAGTTCATCTCCAAGGTCGCTGATGAGTGAGCACTGCTGGAGGGAGAGGGCTCTGCCTGTGTTAAAACAGACAAGTCATAATAAGATTGAAGTAGGAGGTTCTTGTCCCTCTTATTCCTGATGCATAAGGAAAAGCCAAGGGATGATTGTCAATGGAATTTGTTAAAAATACATATTGACCACTGCATGTTTAATGGAAATATTTAATCGGATTGCTATATTTTCATAAAATACCAAAGCTATTTTATTATAAAATACTCATTTTACATCTTCTTTGAATAATTGTATATCATGTAATTTTGCATTCATAATGTGCAAGCAAGGTACCCTGGGTTTATACATAACTTGCATTAAGTGACCCTTGCAATAATCTGATATGCCAGGTAAGGTTTACAAAACCTGGGTAAAAGATGAGTATATAAATACAAAAGGAAATTATTTTAAAAAAAAATTCCTCTTGCTCTGTGACAACTTTAAAAACCAAGGTTAGAATCAATTTGTTCACTCATTTTCTCTTTCTACCCCTCCCCCTTCTGTAATCAAGATAGGAATTCATTTAATCATAAAATTTTGCAAATTTTGCTACTGAGGTGTTATACAAATTTAGTTAAATAAATTTCCATTCTTATAGGACAATTTTAGTAAAACATAGGTTTTAATATCTATAAATTCCCTTTACTAGTAAGCTATTTTTTGCAAATATCACAGTTGGCGATAAATTTCTGGATAATGCAAGTATCGTCATTTCTTATATACTTGCAAATTATTCAGAGTAGATTCCTTACCAGAATCTATTTCTCTTTTTTATTAGAATGAGTGCATCAAATCAACCAAACACATTGCCATTGGGTTGATTCCAATTCATAGCAGCCCTATAGGACAGAGTAGAACTGCCCCATAGGGTTTCCAAGGAGCGGCTGGTGGATTCGAACTGCCAACTTTTTGGTTAGCAAGCTCTTAACCACTGCACCACCAGGGCTCCAGAATGAATGCATAGTGGTAGAAAATTTCAGGCAGACCGACTGTAACAAAGAACTCTAGTAACAAATTTAGACAGTGAATTAATTGACCAGGAGTTAATGATGAGACAAATAAAACACAGAAACGGATCCCTAAGTATTATATCAGAGAATCTAGAATCTGATCATTGAAAGCGGCTGATGGGTTACCTAGTCCAGAAATTTCCCAAAACCAGAAATGGGAATCATTTTTTAAAATATAATTGTCTAGATTCTTTCCTGAGACTCTGATTCAGTAAATTTGGGGTGTGGCCAGAAATGTGTCTTTCTGATTTGCCGCCAGGCTGTTTTGGAAACCACTAGCCTAATCTTACTCTTAACTTCAGCATGAAACCCCTTGTTGACGTCTTAATGGGGTGAGCTAATTTTTATCGGCTCCAGTGATAGAGCTGGATCTAATAAGCAAACCTTTCTGTTTTCTCATAGCTCTTTTAGAAGTTCAAACTTCAGTGAGCCCAAATCTCCTTCCTTAGAATTTCCACTCATTGGGTCTAGTTTTACCCTCTGGAGTCACAGAAAATGATGCTTTGTTGTTGAAATTTGCATTTCTTTAGATGCTAGGAAACGTGTTCCTACATATATTAACCTCTAATATCATTTGGGTTTTGTGTTTAATACGTTCCTAGTTCTTCTACTGGTGTTTTATTTTTTAATAGTGTATAAGAATTCTATATATTAAGGATATTAGCTCTTTGTTGCTCATATTGTTATACATATATTCTCAGTTTATAATTGGTCATTTTTTATGATTGATTTTTGTTATTTTTGAGAATATACACAGCAGAACAAATACCAATTCAACAATTTCTGCATGTACAATTCAGTGACACTGATTACATTCTTTGAGTTGTGCTACCATTCTCACCCTCCTTTTCTGAGTTGTCCCTTCTCCCTCGTTAACATAAACTCACTGCCCCCTAAATTTCCTTTTAGGAAGTTGCTTTTGTCAATTTGATCCCATATAGATAGATCTTAAAAGGGTACAATGCGCAAGGCAGACATTCTTTACTAGTTAAGCTGAAGTATTGTTTGATTTTAAGAAAACTTCAGGGGATATTTTGGTTTAAGGTTTAAAGATTATCTCAGGGCAATAGTTTCAGGGATTCATCCAGCCTCCATGGCTCCAGATATTCTGGATTCCATGAGAATTTGAAATTATGTTCTACATTTTCCCCCTTTTGATCAGGATTCTTCTATAGAATCTTTGATCAAAATGTTCAGGTCATTTATTGATTGTGTATGTGTGTGTGTGAGGGTGTATATGTGTTTGTGTGTAAATATACATAATCCCGATTCTCTATTGAACATTTTAGCTCTTTCCCAGCTTAGATCATCCAGAAATTTGACAGGTATGGCATTTCTATGCAATATCCTGCATTAGATACTTAAAAATTATACTAAAACTCCCCAAAACATATATTATGCAGAAATAATGTAGCATGCCAAGCAAGCTATAAAGGGCTGCTGAAGGAAAATTCCACTCCTTTTGTTCAAATTAATCCTCTCTGGCTTTTATTGTAAGGTGTATTTTTCCTTTGAATACCCTGTGTGGTCCTTTATAAAAGGAGGAAACGTTATCATGCTTCACATTTTTAAGCCTCTGGCAGGCAGAGATTGTTAATTTGTTTGCTTATTTAGAAGTCAGGGAGCTTCCCCCCATGCCCCGCCCCCACATTTCTCTCTTTGTTTTAACTTTCTTTGTAGCTTAGTAACAAAACTCACCCTCAGACCTGCCTTTAAATTGTTTTCAACCACCTTTGGGGTTTTATTCTGTCTCTCCCCCTTCCAGGGCCTCCTATGTGAAGTGGGAGGAATGAAGTCATTGTGTTGCAATTTTGTGGCTGAGGGACACTGCTCTTGACTAATCCCAGTTGCTAGTTTGATTAGGAAAAGACAGCCCCATAAGCCAGAATTCTAGTCCTCACCAGACACTAGACCTGGTGTCATTGTAGCTAATGGAGGCTGTGTGTAGGCTGCAGTGGAAATTTTGTTACTGTTTCAGAAATTACTTGGAAACAGGCAAAGCAAACTGTTTAAGCCCAAAAGACTGCATTAGGCCTAGAGTATCTTAATTGACTTGGCCAAATACAAGTATAGCTGAATAATTACCAAGTTTTAACCATGCAGACTATTATTTTAGTCATTAAAATCAGGGAAGATGATACCACCACATAATTCAGCCAAGACTGCGTTGTTTCTAGGAGACTGTCTCACCACCATCTACTTTTTAAGTAAAGTAGGATACCCTGTATACCTGTGCTGCTTGTTTCCTTAGCCCAGACAAGGCAGTAAATTGAAGGAGTAGATATTATTAACTGGGAGGAGTGGGGGCAAAGAGGGAAAAGTTATCCCTTCTCTTTCTGTCCCTTCTTTCCTGAGTGATAGTGAGAGTAATTTATTAAGGTATGAAAGATGTCAAGGCAACTTTACATTTGCTGGGAGTCACTGGATTAGCAAGCAATAGGTGTAGCCCTTCTTCCACTGAATCAAAAATATTTGAGCACCAAATTACAAATTTGCAAAAAAAAATCTTTAAACCATATATGCTACTTTGTATTTTCTCTCAGAACCCAGCCTCAGTCTATATCTCATAAATGCCTTGGAAAGTACAGTATACTATTATCTTAATTAGTTGGCATATATAGCCTTTCTCTTTAATGTGGGGGATTCAAGAGGAAAGGGAAAATTAAGTGAGTAAATGTGGTACTAGTCTTCAGAATGCTTAGACCATACAAGTTGGCAGGTGGGTAAGATACTCTTGTCTCTCCTTCAATGCCAGACTATAAAAGAAGACATAAATGAGCTAGTGTCTATTCCTGGAGGGTATAAACTCTATCATTGAGTAGGAATCAATAAACACTAATTGGTGATGTTGATCAGCCCACTGTTGACAGGCATAGGAAAAGCATTCTGCAGGCACTTCCTGCTATTACTGGGTGGCAAAATGTTAGGGGAACGTCACAGATAATGAGGAGCAGGAGGCAGGGGAGATACATTTTCTCCATATATCTAACAGAGAAAAAAAAATATGCTCTTAAAATGTTGAAGTCTTAGTTACAAAACGATCATAACGATAGGATCAAGCCTCCCTGTTGGTGAGCCCAGAATTTATTATCCCAGTGAGGTCCACTTTATGGTAGGGTCTTTTAGGAGAAATATGCAATAAATATATAAGTATTTTATTCACATTCCTGATTAATTTAAACCTACATAGTTTTATATCAAAAGTTATATATAATTTTTTTTAGTTGTCTTTGTGGATCAGTTCCCATTGCCATCTAATGAACT